AGGTGTCCCCATGCGTAGAGGTCAGAGGGAGACGGAGCAGAAGTAAGGACTTGCCTGTCTTAACTTGGGAAAACCCACAGGTGCTGCTGCTTTATCTGTGAAGCACTCGTTCTTCTAGGAATGCCTGTTCCTTAATGTTTCCTAAATCAGCCCCTTTCCGTACTGTACACCTACCGTTTCCAGATGACCCCACACCTAAAGGCCCCGAATTCTACTGATGAAAATATCTAGGAGTGGAAGAGACCTCCTTGGACATTCTTAATACACCTGGATCCATAATGTCTACACTTGATGCTCCAGCCCAAGCCTTCACCGTGTGATGGCATACTGTTATAGAAATACTGTGGCCTTGTGTGTACAGGCCTCTGCAAGTCCTAATGATTCCTTTGACAGCTTTTTTTTAAATCAGGCGATTATGTTAAAATTTTCAGTTCAAAGCTTTTAAATATGGCTCCCTCCATCTAAAAGAGTCAACTAAAGGACTGCCGTGTGATGGGACAGTGGTGTGAAGGTGTCCTCTTCACTGCCAGTCAGGCAAAGACCTGAAAGATTTGCATTTTATTGTGTCTCTTAATGCTGTTCAGTAGAATGATGCTTTTTGTAAGTGTGAGTCTTACCAATGACGTAACAGTTTGATAACTTTGAATGTTTTAATGGCCAAGTTGCTGCTGAACTTATACTAAATCAGGGGATCAAAAAACTAGCTCTTACCTTTCCAAACTGTATTCATACCATTAATGTATCAGTTACCCCAAAGCCTCAGCTCACCTTGGCCACTCGGCCACATTGGTGAGGAATGCATCAAAGTGGCTGTATGAAATCCAGATCTTGGTTCATGGAAGGGAATAATGAGATCATGATATTTGTTAGGTGTGGTCGGTTAGGTGGCTTAGGTTCAGCCATTCTGGAATTAGTGCTGGTATCAGCAGATCTGAACCCTTGTTTTACCATATGAACAGAACAGTTCGTGGAAGTTAATATTAGTGAAAGGCACATGGTTTCATTTCTTCTAATAACACTTTGTGTTTTTCTAAATGATGTGTATTGCTCTTTTTCAGCTTTATTTTTCAAAGTGCCAAGTCAGAAAACCAACAAGGGGCTTGTGGCTGGGCCCTGCTCGGGACATTACAGCTAGAAACCAAGTTCCTGTGACAGCCTTTGCTTTACTAGTGTTGGTGTTCACCAAAGAACACCTTGCCGCTTGTTCTCGGATTAAGTGTGTCCTTAACAGTCCATCTCAGTGGTCAGAGGCCATGCCTTTTAAAGTATGTGTGGAATTTTTAGAGGTGAATATACAGAATAATTTTTCCTGAAATGAAACCCAAATTCTGCTCTAAGTTTCAAGTCTTTGGTGAACGTCTAATGCATTGAGCTGGAAAGCCAGCCCTTTCCACCCTCTGTTACCTGTGAACATGAATGTACACGATCCATGCCTACTAAGACTGTGTTCTTAGCCCTGCCTTCTTTTGTTTGTGGATCTAATCGAATGTTGGACCGCTTTGGCAGCAGAGGGCACTGAAGCCATATGGGATGGGGAATGCATTCCTTCAGTGTTTCTCCTGGAGACTTGCCATTTCTGTAGTCACGGACCCAAGTGTCACAGTATTAGGAACTTTGCCCCAGTCTGAGATGTGCCTTTCCTTTGCTCACAGGCTTTGTTTTGTCCTGGTGATGAGTTTATAAGCCTCGCCTCCCTGCTCCTTAATAAAGGCTACATGATTGGTAGGTGATGTTTAAAGTGTCTGCCTGTGAGGATGCACTTGTACTGACAAAGATTGCCAAGTGTATCTGGTGGAACTCTGGGTGGTGATGGGATCTGATCCAGCGAAGAGGACTTTCGGTCCTCACTGAAGGGAACTGGCTTTGGGACTCTGTCAGCCTCAAGGAAGGAAACATTGTATTTTTGGCTCAGTGATTAATCTTTGGTGATTTCATCTGAATGAGATTTGCTGAATTAGTGAATATTAAATTTAAAACTAATTATGAGTGGAAAAATAAAAAGGTAGTACTTATGTCTGAACTTGCTGTGTTTTTGAGCTAGCCCCAGGTTACCAGAAACCAAGACTCGCTACTCCATTGATTTCTACTTATTCCCAGCATTAAATATGTTTATTGTCTTGTCACACTCACACTTGTGCCAGGTTTTATCCCTGCTCTCTTAGAAGCTTCTTGGCTATGAATCTGTCATGGTGTCCTGTGATGTGGGTCTCTGGCGGGATTGTTTTACGGTAGCAGCCCGGCATTTTCCCCAATTTTTCCTTTATTATTACTAAAATTCCACTAATAGTTAAATATTCAATGATCTTTCTGTATAGCAACTTGTTGATAACTTTAGGTTTCTGGTTAATTTTAATTATAGCAGGTTTTGGGGGAGAGGGTGAGTAGGGCCTTTGATTAATGTCAATTGAATTTGGATTTCTAGTTCTTGAAGAAAACCTTCCCAACACCCACTTCTCTTTTTATATTTGGCAAAAAATTCATTAATGGTTCCACTGACTCTGAGAATACTCCCCTGGTTGATTCTGAAAGTTGAAAGTAGGTTACCATTTTGAGGCAATTGGATAAAAATTATGTAAATATAGACAATGACGATGTTTATAAGTGGCATAACATGAATGTACTAGCTACATTCTGTGCTGCAGATTTTTTGGAGGTATGACATGGAATTTTTTATGTTCTTTTCACCTCTCTGCTTTCTTTCAGAATGATCCTCCCCAGCTCCCAAACCGCCCTTAGCTATTTCTGTGGCATGCCTGACACCCCTTCCTCCTAAGTGCTTTGGTCTTTGTTGGATTTCATGCACTGTGCCTTCAAAACAAAAAATTTAAAAGGAACTTTAAAAGAATTGAATAGTAGTTTTAAAAAGTTAATCTGTGTAATTTATGTGAAATCTAACTGTAATGAGGTCCTTTGTTTTTTATATATGTAAACAGATCTACTAATCCTGTATAAAAGTTATTTTATGATGTTTGTCTTTCTTTGTGTGTTGTCTCATAATCTTTATTCAAAAACAATAGGCCAAAGAAAGTTACTGCTCTAATTTTGAAAGTTTTAAGTTAAGTTTTTCTACCTGACTTAAGTAGAAAACAGTACCAAAGTCAGAGAACAGGGAGTCACCTATCCAATGTTCTTTCTGTAGGAATTGACAAACAGGTTTTGTTTCAGAAGTGACGGTATCACGTAGCAGCCACAGTTGCGTAGCTCGCCCAGAATGATGTGTTCAGCCACTCCCCAGAAGCACCACACACAGTAACAACCCAGGTTTTAACACTGTGCCCACTTCACATCTATTCTGTGTGCTGTCCTTCAGATCAGGAAAGCACGAGAGGTTTATAGACCCATGTTAAACTTGTTTGTTAAAATTATGGTCCCTGTTCCAGGTGAAGCCCATTTAGAATAACCTGCCCTGATGTCAGGCGTGATGGTGATAAATTTAATGTCCCCTTGTTATTTAACAGGTTTCTTCGCTATTGCTGCTCTACTGAGTTGGGAAAACACTTATGTAAACAAGCATGGGCTGTGCCGACAGGGAACTCATAGTTCAGACTAGAGGAACAGAAATGACATTAGACTGTGCTTCGGTAGCGTTTAGCATCTCTCAGTAGAAAGTCTCCTGAGCAAGTGTGGAGAGGTTTCAGCCTGGCCCAGCCTGGGATTGATGTCCTATGCAATGTGACCTTGAATTTCAGGACTCTCAGATCAGGCTCCGAGGCTCGTTTTCATGTTTGTTAAGTCTTCAGTAGAATGACAGTGTGGGTTGATGAGGTGGAGTTGTCTCAAAACTGGATACCTGGAGTGGCCAGTGTCATTTTCCTTCATCTGTTTCCTGATCCACTTGAAAGGACTTTTCCAGCAATATAAACAAAGCTCTTTTAGAGGTCATCCTTTCAGTTTAAAAGACATTTAGATAGGACAGTTTGCTGGAACTCTCTTCTACCATGTGGGTCAGTAGGTGGTCTGGAGTGTGGCAGACATTTTAATTTTCCAGACGCTTCAGACTGTCCTTAGGTGAGATTAGGTTGTCTTTACACTTCTTTGGTAAAAGCTTGTTTAACTTTGAAATCCTGTCCTGAGTTTGACCATTTTTTTCATGCCTGAATCCAGAAGTCTTTTGGTTGGTTTTATAAACACGGTCTACCAGTTGTGTTCAGTTTTCAGATGTCTAGGAGCTGTTACCAGCATTGTGAATACAGTAGTCACTGCTCAGACGCTTCTCAGTTATGAATAAAAGCCAGCATGCAGATCCGCATGTCCCATTCTCACTTCCATTTAAAATCCTACTGCTGATTCTCTATTACTTATTATAAATGTTAAATAACGATGCCATCAGTGACCTAAAACTTAAAAAGCAATGGAATGACATTTAAAGTTACAGTTTCCACCAGCATTACCCAGTAATAGGTTTAAAGCAAGCACGCTACTTCTTTAGTACTTTTGGCTAGGTCAAATGGAATTTGGTTCCCTGGTACAGTGTAAACAAATGGGAATGAGATGAGCAAGAATGACAGGTTGGCCTCAGTGGAATAGAGTGAGGGAGAAGTGTGTGAGAGTCGAGTGCAGTTTTGAGGCTCTCCTGGAAGAAGACTGAAGACACAAGGGTACAGGTTTCATGAATAGATTGAAGGATCGTAGTAATTAAAAGAGTCAGTATAGCTGGGCATAGCGCACGCTTTTAATCCCAGCACTCAGGATGCAGAGGCAGGCTGACCTCTATGAGTTCAAGGCCAACCTGGTTTATATAGTCAGACCCCTTGTCTCCAAAGGCGGGGATAGGCGTAGAATGGATACCTCAACTTTAGTACAAATAATGTATTCAAATAGAAGAGTATGAAGAGACCAAGATAAAGTCAGAGTTGTAGTGGAAAAGAAGACTGATAGTTGTATAAATTTAAGGTGGACCATTTAGAAACAAGAGAATAAACACACTGTTGATAACATTGTTCATATTCTAGGACTGTTATTGAGCTTGAGCCAAAGTGAAGGAGGTGTGAGGGAAGTTTAGGCTGCTAGAGCAGAGCTGAGGGTGTAGCTCAGTGGTAAAGCAGTGGCCCACCATGGAGAAGGCTCAGGGTTCATGGTTCAGCCTGAGCATCACCACCTGTTAGAATTCCAAGTGTTTCCCAGGACTCCAGCATCTGTACACACTGTCACTTGGGATGATCATATTGTTTCTGGAAGAGCCCAGTGTCAAACAAGCTTTTGGGTTAGGATCTGAAAAGACATAAGGAACCTAGAATTAATCCTAAAGACAGTATGGAATGAGTGAGGTGTGGGCAGGTTATGGTAATGACAGGATTAGAGGATTGCTGGATTGGGGAAAATAACTTCAGGAGGGTTTCGGATAGATGAATCTGCAAAGAGAATGCAGAACTGACTGCTGAGTTTTAATGTGGAGGATGTGGGTGTTGGAGGGGTACAGGGAAGGACTCTGTACTGTTTTCTCTCTAACAGGACTTGAATGGTGGCACATTTGAGGAGGAGCCGGCATAGGAAGGAGGATGCCTAGAGCCTGGCCAGCTACACAGAGCTCAGTTTCTGTGGAAGGTGTCTCCATCATAGAGGCAGAGGGGACCCCACAACTTTTTCACCACCGTAGGAACAAATAAAAAAGCTTCTCTTTGTTTCGGGTGTTGGCATTATCAAATGCTATAAAACAAGAAACAAAAGACAGTCAACAGGGACTATCACAAGAAACTATAAAATAAGAGACTTCTGGAAACAAGATATGAAAAATAAATTTAGAGAGTTGTTTTGGCCAGAAGATAGACTTGTAGACATTCTTAGGAGTCTTAAGAAATTTGAACTAGGTGGTGGTGGTGGTGGTGGTGGTACATGCCTTTAATCCTAGCACTCTGGAGGCAGAGACAGGCAAATCTCTTGAGTTCGAGGCCAGTGTAGTCTATGAGTGAGTTCCAGGACAGTCAGGGTTACACAGAGAAACCCTGTCTCAGAGAGAGAGAGAGAGAGAGAGAGAGAGAGAGAGAGAGAGAGAGAGAAAAGAAGGAGGAGGAGAAGGAGGAAAAAGGAAGAAAGGAGGGAGGGAGAGAGGAAAGACATAAGAGAGAGACACAGAGAAGGAGGATAGAGAGACAGAGGCAGAGAAAAAGACA